GCACTCCACTCAAAGCGCTTTTACAGGTAGTGTTATCAACAGTTAATATGCAGAGTGAGCACTAAGGTCTCCAACCTTAGTAGCACAACTGTTCCTTTCTGGCAGCAATCACAGAACTACAGGTATAGCAGAGTGAACACAAAGCCTGAAGACAAACAAGCCCAAGTTCTTTACGACAACATATTATTCACATCTTCCAGACAATGTGGGAAAGCAATGATAAAGACAATCAGAGTGCGAGGATACAGCTTTAAGAGGGTAGAAATGAAAGTACAGGACGCAGTGTTAATACTGTCTGATGCCCTAGTAAGGCCTCATGGAGAATATTGTGTATATTGGTTCACCGCCTTACAGAAAAGACACTGCTGCTCAGGAAGGAGCCCAGAGCAGAGCAGGCGGGTACCGTCCCGGGCAGAAGGAGCTCCTTCTCTCTCAGCGGAGCCATGATGATCTGGCGGACCTGGCAGTGCTGCAGGGCTCACAGACCACATGACGAAACAGAGGGAAGAGAAACTCGCAGCTGCACGGAACATGCAACAAGAGGAGTGAAAGTCATGTTGAAGAGCTGCAGGGGTTCTGTGGCGATTTCGCTAACTCTAACTCAAGACTTCAACCCTTCACCAAGGCACAAGTCTGGCCAGACTCCCAGGAAACTCGCACCAAGAATTTGTTGATTTAAACTGTTTGAAAACGGAACAATTGCAGTGAAACAGAACCGTGGGGGGAATGGCATCCACGGTACAATTATGGCTTGCCACAGGAAGAAGTCGCTTTGGTCTGGCCAGTGAGCAACAGGAGAAACATTTCCCTTCAGAGAAACAGCAGGCACAGGACTGAAGGGCTCAGCCTCAGACTAGAATCATCGCCATCTCAGCAGAAGAGATTTTAAGGGCATAAGATAAGATCACAAGCAAGAAGAGGCCCCTCTGTCCATCTAGCCTGTTTGGTCTTTAGAGGCTGAATGAGCCGGGGAGCTCATGTAATTTGTTCCACACCCCTACAACCCTTTGTGTAAAGCAATCTTTTTTTTTTCTATTTCTTGTTTCTTTCTTGCTTGCTGTCGGAAGGCTGTTCTCGGCTGTAAATGCATATCCCCATAGCTTCCACTTGTGTTACTGTGCTGATTTTTTTCCCATTTGTATTAAGTTTATGAGAGAACATCCTATTTGCAGGATGCCTTCCAAAGTTTCCGAGATGCATCTGTATACACTTCTGAAGTATGGGGCAGGCAGATTTTCTGACAGGCTGAAACGCCTTTTCTGTTAGCCAGTTATTCTGTATCACTGAGATTGTGATTGAAATATTCCATATAATTTAGAAGTTAAACAGTTCTGTGTCTCATTTCTGTCAACCCTGACCAACTCATCCCAGCCACCCCACCCTGCAAAAATATATTAACCACTTTCTTAGCTTAGATACCTGAATTTATTTAAGAACCTTTCGTTTTCTTTACAGTCACCATCACAGCTGAACTGTACCTGCAGAAACACGCAATCCCCTTCACAATCGAACCCAAGCAACACACACAGACACTCTCACCCTCTCCCTCTTACACCCACTCGCTCTCACACAATCTCACACACACTCATGAAAACTGGGGAAGAAATCACCAAACTGCTTCATGAGTCAATGTGAGAGGAATAAGAACTGATTCGAAAAAAATCATTCAGTGTTATTTCTAAGTTTGGCATTTCTGCTTTCATGCACTCGCTTGGTTTCTGTCAGAGAAGGAACAGAAACACAACACAAGATGAACACAGGACACACTATTTCCTACTCAAGCTCTCGGTTCTCGCTCTTTGGTTAGCTCTCTACTGATTTATGCGTCCATTTTCTAATGGGTACTTCAGAACTGCATTGCCACAGGGGATCCAGAGCCTATCCCAGCAAGCAACAGGTGCTGGGCAGGGTACACCCCGGACAGGACATCAGTCCATCACAGGGCAGAGACATAAACACACAGACTCTCACACCTGGGGCAATTTTCCCAGAAGCCAATTAACCTACCAAACAGTTCAAACAGTGTCCGACTTTAAAAACGCCAAATACAAATTATAATATTGGCAACCTGTTTTGAGCACTAGGATAAGACTGAGGGGAAAATTATGACAATCAAAATTGTCACCACAAGATTGTAATTTTAAAAAAAATATATAGAGAGTAAATATAAATCCGTATATATAGAGTGTATACTAAGATACTAAGCATCAAAGAAACCACTTATAACTGCAACAGATTCAAAAATGTAGCAAGAAAATGACAAGCTTTTTTTTTTGCACCAGGTGCACTGACATATTAGTGAACAGATATGACAGAAGAAATTTCATTGTGCTGATTAACGTTGGCTATCAACAGGGGGCAACGTTTCGGCCGTGGAGCCTTCTTCAGGTGTGAGCACCTCACCTCAATATACCTCATTAAAAAATGATTGCGCTGATCGCTCGCTTCAGTTACTCAAAAACCCATGCTGTCTCACAGCGTCCTGGAGCTCGGTGGCCATGGGCGACCGCTGAAATTGTCGCACTGTTTCACAGCAGGGCTGTCGGCACCACATCGCGTCCGACACTTGAGTACCATCCACAGCCGAAACTCCACACGGCTTTAAAGCAGAAATTATTTTCGATTAAATAGCGACAGAAGCAATGTCGCGCCTCAAAATGAACCCCTAAGGATAATACCGTATTTGAACATCTACGTGTTCCCAAAACCAGCCATGTCGGGCAAGCGCCAACTCGAGGAAGCAATCTCATTAATGGAGTTGGTTCGTTTTTTTTTTAATCTACATGTTTTAGAAAACTCAAAAATCTTAGAATTCAGAAGCGACAAGGTAATGCAGAGACACGATTACAGCTGGAGAGCAGGAACGCAACTGTTCATTTAAAAGGCACCTAAAGTCGTCGCAAAACTCTTTATAATTTACGGATTAATCCTAAAAAGACACAGATCGGAGGCTCATCATACGGAAAAAGAAAACATCACCTCGCAAGATAGACTCACCTTTCGGAAGGAAACAACTGTCAGTCAGAGTGGCAACTATCTTTTAATTATATTTTTGTTTGAAGAAAAAAAAAGGCTGTGACTATATTTTGCTTCTTTTTCAGGGCGAGGGGAAAGTAAGCGGTCGTGTATTTTTTTTTTCCACCAGGTTCCTGTTTTCGTTTGCGACAGTACATGTGAGGGACAGAAATAAAAACTCAAATCCTATCAGAGAGGGAAGCGAAACTGGCCCAGCCCGGTCAACATCCAGCCGTCCCCTCTCGCCCCGCTCCCGCCCATCTTTAAAGGCGCAGCTCCCGAACCGGCGCGCCACCTCCCTGACGCGGAGAAGAGACTCACAACACTGATATGATACTGTTATCAATATTATATGACTAATACAATATGAATATTATATGTTATGTTATCAGGTAACACCTGACTTGTGTCACCATTTCCAGTTCCAAAGCAAAGGGATGTGTGGCTGAGATGTGGTGGTCCCAGATTCAGTGATCAAAGCTGACGTAAGGTTTACCTTGGTTTGCCTCGCTTAATTACGCTCGGGGTAAATGATTAAGTGTCAAATCAACGGTGAAACAGCAGATCATAGAACAGGCAGACCGGAAAGGAAAAAGGTGAAAGGGGAAGTAAAAGAAGACAAGAGGAAGACAAGAAAAGTGGGAGGGCAAGAGCTCCTTATCCTAAATCCCCCATAAAGACCAGACTGGAGGAAGACTGAAGTGTTTGAGCCTTGTTGAGGCAGCTTGCTGCTCTGTGGTTGTAAGGGAACTCTGATGTGTTCCCTGTGTAAAGAATGTGCTGGTTCTCCTGGTTAGTGAGTTTTATTATTTTTATTTGCTTTGGCAACACTGATTGTACCCATCGGTCATGCTAATAAAGCACTTTGAATTGAATTGAATTGAATTGAGTGCAGTTTTAGAATAGGCAGACATTACATTTCATTTGGTGGCAAATGGGTTTACAGACAGATTTAACTCCAGGTTGTATTCTATTAGGTTTAGAAGACAGCTTTTCTCTTCTTTCGGCCTCTGTAGGCGTTACATATTAATAATTATAATAATAATTGCTTACACTTATATAGCGCTTTTCTGGACACTCCACTCAAAGTGCTTTACAGGTAATGGGAATCCCCTCCACCACCACCAGTGTGCAGCCCCACCTGGGGCTCACCAGTGTCCATGTCCAGGTTGTGGTCACTGAGCCTGTCCTCTCTTGTGAGTCTGTCTGTGTCCAGTGTCTGTGTGCAGGCTGTGGTCACTGAGCCTGTCCTCTCTGGACAGTCAGGTGTCTGTGTCCAGTGTCTGTGTACAGGCTGTGGTCACTGAGCCTGTCCGCTCTGGAGACTAAAGTCTGTTTGTGTCCAGTTTCTATGTCCACTCTGGACAGGAGGCACATCTTTACACAAAGGTGGGAGTGGGGAACAATTTGCCCAGCCAAGTTGTTGAAGCCGGTACCTTGGCTTCTTTCAAGAAACATATTGATGAGATCCTGACATTTATTATCTACTAAGTACAAACTGGGTAACTATGTGGGCTGAATAGCCTCCTCTCTTTTGTGACCTGCATTGTGTGATCAGGTTCCCCATTTCCCTGTATGGTACAGTACTCACGGCTCAGAGCATTTGGTTTTGCATTGAGAAGTTGTTACAATGTGTGAATTAAGGTCACATAAGTTCTAATTTAATGTGAATTGGTTCCAATGTTAGGCCACAGTGTGTTGTTTTGGAAAGGATTGTAAACTTGCTTGCTCCAGGCACACAGTATATAAATATATACGAATCCCTGCTATCCGTAGATTACATTTCCCTAGCAAACTTCCTGTGTTCTGTTACAGGGTCAGAAATTTGAGTATGGCCCCACATTCTGCCATCCTGACAGCTCAGCATTTTCTGCCTACTGACCTGCACTTTTTAGGAGACAGGAAACACTCACTGATACCACTCTGATCTGTAGAACCAAATGACAGAGACAAACACTAAAGGTCTTTTTCAGAACAACTGCTACATCTTTATAATCCTGGACAGCACAGAACAAACAACACCATGAAAACACTTCACGGGAACACAGCAGAGAGTCCATCATGAGGTTATTCACACATTTCTAAAGATTAATAGTTTATTAAACTGTATCCTTGAAGTCTAGGTAACGGTGTCATCACACATACGCTGACAAATAGTCTCCAGCCAGCAAAACTCAATTCAGACCTACAGACAAACCTGTAGACTGAAGTAACTGAGTCTCCTTCCACATGAAGAGAGAAGAATAATAGGGGACCTGAGTAATTAACCTCTCAATGGAATCAAACAGTGAAGAGTGAAACAGAGGACAGGAGTGGAAACTAAGAGGAAGTATATTTAAAACTGAAAACAGGCGCAATGTCTTTAAACATAAGGGTGCCGGGAGTCTGGAACAAGCTGCTCAGTCATGCTGTTGAAGCCGATACCCTGGCTTCTCTCAAGACACAGCTGGATGAGATCTTCCGGTCGGGACAGGAGACTTCTTTACACAAAGGGTGGTGGGAGCGTGGAACAAGCTACCCAGCCATGCTGTTGAAGCCGGCGCCCTGGTTTCTTTCAAGTCTCATGAGATCCTAAGATCAATGAACTACTAACAGCCAAAATGGGTGGACAGATTGAATGGTCTCCTCTTGTGTGAAACCATGTCTTGTGGTCTTGTCTACACAACAAATCACTGTGCGCATGCAGAGGAAACAAGTTAATAAAGGTTTTATTTACCAAAAAAAAATACCAATCTGTCCCAATCGGGGACAAAGCAGCACAGATACACTAACAAATGCAAACAAGAAGTTGAAAAAAACATCCAACACCATACAGCATCAACTTCCATAATAACATGAAAACTGCTCAAACTTCAGTCCTATTATAAACCATGAGGAACTCCTGCGTTAAGTCCGGCACAGAGAGGGGTTAATACAGAACAGACAGACAAAAACTGGAAACTACAGCACACTAACATTGCAGTGAGAGAGAGGCATACGGATAGAGACTGTAACGTATTAACCCAGCTCTCTTAGACATGAATGTACTGAAATGTTCAGTCCCCTAGTGTAAAGTGTACTGTACTGACAAACCAGGCCCCCTGACCCCCTGTCCTTCCCCACAGCTACACGGTGGCTGGGGCTCCCTGCTGCACCCTCTTCATCAGCTCTTCGTCCTGCACAGACAGCTCGGTCAGCTTGCGGCCCATCCTCTCGTGGACGTCCAGGTACTTGGCCACACAGCGGTCCAGACACACCGCCTCGCCCTTGGACAGCTCTGCTTCCTTGTAGTGGGGGGGGACACACTTCCTGTGACACGCACTGGTCATCCTGGCAGAGAGAGAGGGGTTAATACAGTCCAGACACACTGACTGGAAACTACAGGACATTAACACTGCACTGAGAGAGAGGGGTTAATACAGTCCAGACACACT